TTCGTTTCCACAAAAATAAAGCGAACACTATTAAATTGAAGAAACAGTCCATGTCCAAAAACCCCGGAGGAACCCTGAAAGAATTCGGTGTTTTAAATTAGCATATTTTGAACGGGTATAAACAATTATTGATTATTTAATATCGGAACCGAGATCATATANTGATTTTAGAAACCATCTGGGACTTATTACCTGTCGTTATATAAGGTAGCATTAATATCACTGATGACAGTTAAAGCTTAGGTGGATTTTTATATCAGAATCTCATCTTTGTGAAAAGTGTGCAGATAGAGAGTATTATTGAATATAAGCCCTCGATGTTTAAAATATATACAAATTTTATTTCAACGTATACAAAAAATAAATCTACCTTACCGTTACAGCACGGTGGGAGACGGGGAAGGGGGCCCGGAGGGCCGCGGCGTAGCGTGACGTGGTGTGCGCGAAGCTAAGCAAATTTAATATTTGAAAGAGAAATAACGTCAATTGATTTTATTTCGTTTTTAAAAAGGTAATAATGTCAATTGACTTTATTTCGCACCAGGGTGGGAAATAAAGTCAATTGTCCTTATTTCCGTTGATCTTATTACCTGTCACCATAGCATACGGGCAATTACTGTGATATGCACCCAGTTTGTTCTCATAGGGCAGGGGACTTCTGCGTGTGTACGGACACACATATGCATGCACATATATACAGCTGATGCTCAATATTTTATGTGCTTACTTTTCCGTAAAATATGATGTATTTGCAAGGAATTCCTACAATAAAGTGGTGGAAACCAGTCAAACCGGGCACCGTGCTGGTGCATTAATTTCATTAAACGGATTATATAATCCTTATTGAGTGCTTCTAGGGCGGCTTTAACATGTGCTGGTATTGGAAGCAACAATATAACGTCCATAGATTTAATGCACTGCGACGCTGACACCGGCACACCTTCATGGCCGCATTTGTCGACACAAAATTTTTGACAATCATAGTAGCACCAGCGAGATTAATTCCTTCATGTTGAAACCACGGAAACCGCAGAATCTGTGAATAAAACAAACAGAAGATAATTTTGTAGGATGAAAAAAAAATTTAATTACATACATACATACAGAACCACTTACACTTCGGGCATCTTCTTTTTATCCGTTTACAGAGCATTAATCCGTGCTGTGTGCTCAAGGCAAAGGGTTGCAAATCGATGCAGGCAAGCGTCTGAAACCTAAACTAAGTATATTAAATCAAACCCTATCCTACAAATTACTATTATAACAAATTCCACTATACGAACCGTTTCTCCTCGTGATAGTTTATTTCTTGAATGACTTTTCAGCCATTCAGGATATTGCCATTCATGAATTAGCAATGGCGCCATCTGTTGTATTCGAGACCAAATGCTTACGTTAAGCTTGCGTCATTGGGGATTTTTACTCAATCCGTCGAACTACACAAGATCCGACAAGATGAAGCAAAAGAAAAAAAGTAATTTTCTGGCTGACGTTTGTAATTTCGACGCCATGTTATTTTCTTTTAAAGGTAAACAAAGAATATGAAGACGAGGCATAATTTTCTCAATTGCTATCACAAAGTATGGCTTTTATGCAAATTATAAATACTGCTCTACTCGACGGTCATCAACGCACAAATGGCTGCTTCTCGACCGGTCTGTTCTAATTGGTTCATGCCTCGCAATCTCTGGAAAAATTGTACTTTAATAAATTATCTTACCATTGTGTTAGATGGTTTTTGATTGGAATACCAGTTTAAAAAATGATTGCGATGCGCAAAAATACGGTAATCGACATAAGGAATATTATGATACTTCGTATCACGTTTATCGATTATTATCACCGTTCTTGTTTGATACCGCGAAAACACGTTGTAAAAATGAAACAAACTATGCCATGCTTTACATAAGGTTTTCGATGCGAATCAGAACAATCATTTTGCGTGAACCTTTGACGTAGCAACCACCTCAACGTTAGCGAGCGAATTTTTTTTTGGGGTGGCAGGACCGTTTTACGATATTAACGTATCACGAATGGGAGCAAACAAGCAAAATCGATAACACCTGTCCACAATGTATCGCTTCAATATTTGAGGTGCCCATACACTTTTTATACGCTTGTACGATATTATATGCAGTTCACACTATCAATTTACAGTGTGGAATCAACATTTATTTTCAAAGTATAAACTATATTTTATTTTCGGTTTTAAACTCATTTAATGCTCGCCACCCAACTGTAACCTACACACATAAAGGCACATTATTTAGTACATAAGTACACAGTACTAGTATTGGATAAAAGCAAGGGGAAAACATTAACCAATTTCAGCCAATGACTAAATTCACTTCAATGAGGAAGAGGGCGGAGCAGCGATCACCGCGTTATTCGCTCGTATGCCGTCTATGTGATGGAAATCACCCAATCAGGCTCTGTCCAATAAACCGAGTAAAATCTCCCGAAGAAAGATTGCGGGAGGCATTGTTGGGACGGTTTTGCGGCAACTGCTTGTCTATGACACACCGCGTCGATACGTGCACGAGCGAGGAGCGATGCCATCGGTGCCATGACAAGCATCATACAACTCTGCATCTGGATGAGGAGCACCAAGCCGTCGACACAAGACCATGGAGCGTGCAAGTCGGAAGTGAGGATGAACCAGAGCACATTCTATCGATCAATGCTTCAGACTCTGGAACAGAGACCAGAGCTCTCCCACCGGACGCCGAGGAAGGCGAAGTCATTGAAACTGCAGTAGCAACCCGCACTCTTCGCCCGACTTCACGAAGGGGATCGGAAACTGGGCCTTCCCGACCGCTTTTAGCACATGAACGGCGCCGTGGATCGGAGACTCGGCCTTTCGGACCACGCCAGCCTTCACACCGTCGCCGTGGACTAGGCCTTTCCGCCCACGGGCCAGACACTTATATTCGGCAAATCGACGCCGCCATCAAGGTAGACTGGAGACGAGGCCTCGCCAGCTGCCTGTTCCATTCAGAGCGGGTCAGGTCCAGCCTTCAATNCGGAAACTGGGCCTTCCCGACCGCTGTTAGCACATGAACGGCGCCGTGGATCGGAGACTCGGCCTTTCAGACCACGCCAGCCTTCACGCCGTCGCCGTGGAGCGGAAACTAGGCCTTTCCGCCCACGGGCCAGACACTTAGATTCGGCAAATCGACGCCGCCATCAAGGTAGACTGGAGACGAGGCCCCGCCAGCTGCCGTTACATCAATATGTCCTACTGCCGTGGTCAAGGTCGAATCGCAAGGACGACTCCATTTGATACGCGCCTTGATTGATGTGTGCTCGCCGACCTCGATTAGTTCAGCCGATTTAGTACGCGAACTGCACCTTGATTTTGGTTCGCAACAGGGTTGCCTACTGCGTTTGCGCGGCAAACATGGCCAAAATAAAAGGGTAGCAATCCATGTAACAGTGGTGCGAAATTATGTTCGGATCAGCCCCACCAGCAGCGTCGATAGCCGCACCGTACACGCACATTCGACTAGCGGACCCGAACTTCCACACCTCAACGCCGATTCGCTTGGTCTTGGGAGCCGACGTATATCCCGAGATTATCTTGCCAGGGATACTCCCAAGCGCTTTTGGGCCCTTCCTGGCCCAAAGCAGCATATTTGGTTGGATCCTATCGGGATCGTGTCGATCCTAAATATCGAATAAATCTCTTTTCGTTTTTGTTTTTTTTTAGATACTTATATATATACTAGACTGGGTCGAAAAAAAAAGTTGCTAATGTCCGCCCCTAAATTTAAAGATTATGTTGAGAGGGTTCTGGAAAAATTTTTTATTTTTTTTTTTAACCCTCCGAAATACAGCCGAAATGGTTTTTTCGTTGTAACTTGGTTATTTGACGGCCGATTTTTAAAATTGATATGTCATTATTTTTGTCTTGAGAAGCTTCACTTTTCGTTCTTATGTCTTTTTAAGCTTTGAAGTCGCGTTCGCATGATAAGGGCAGAAACAAAATTTTACCCCCCGGATTCCAAAACTAACTCGCAAGTCTAATTTAAGTATTTACTATCAAAACGTTAGAGGTTTGAATACCAAATTAACTGACTTGTATTTAAAAGGTTTTGACTGCAATTATAATATTATTTCCTTGACCGAAACATGACTCAAACCTCATATTTTTAATTCCGAAATTCTTCCAAATGAATATCAAATATACAGGAGTGACCGCGTGGGCAGAATCGGTGGTGGTGTTCTTTTTGCGGTGCCTTCATCGATACCATCCGAGGAAGTTAGTCTTCCTGTCATTGAATATAACGAATTTAAATGTATACGTGTACAGGCTGGAAAGACTTATATTTATTTAGGTCTTTGCTACATCCCTCCTAATTCTGCCGTATCAGTATATATGCAGCTAGTTTCTTTACTTGAGACCGTAAATGCAATGCTTACGGCATCCGATTCTATGATTGTTTTGGGCGATTTAAATCTGCCACACATTTCATGG